AACTGGTTGAGCTCTCATGGTTCCCAGCACAGTCCCAAGGAGGTCTGGGCCACAAAGCTCTGTCTCCAGGATAGGCTACAGGTTATCAGGTTGTTCTGACCTGGGATCTGTCCTGTTCCCATGCTCAGACATAGCTCCTCACACCCATCCTCTCCCTCTCTTGGGCAGCTGCTTGGCCTTCCCACTCACAACCAACCAGCATTTACTATCCAGATTACAAGAGGCCCCTTACTAAGCTGGATCCACCACCTACCTCCCACCCCTGCACGATCTGTGAAATCTGAGAAAACCTACTGGGCCACTACTACCTCAACCTGAAAACATCCCCTTCTCTTCCCCAAAACACTGTTTAAGGCCCACTTCCTTTACAAAGCATCTCAGTGGCCCAGATTCTCCAAAAAGTTATGCATTGAAATGCTGTAGTTGTAAATATTTCACATCCTCTCACGTGTATCCTCATAACTTGCAACAGTGAGAACTGGCCCTATGGCCCACCTTTTCTAGTCATCCCTGGCTCTGGAAAGGCGCACTGGGACAGAGCTGCAGGGACATACCTCATACTCGGGCTGGTTGACCACACCCTGCGACACCAGCAGCTCGGCGTACTTCTGTAACACGGGCTTCTGCTTGCGGATCTGCTTGTACATGAGCGGCTGCGTGAACATCGGCTCATCCATCTCGTTGTGGCCGTTGCGCCGGTAACACACCTGCTCAGAGCAGTGAGAGGATGTCAGAGACAAGGGCTGGCCCCTTGGGAAGAAGTGCAGTTGGGGAACCTACCCCATCTCTCCTAGGTGATGGTCATGTTCTTCATGCCTCACACCTGCCCTGGAATTTACCTTCTCTAGAATTAGGATTCTGTGTATCTCTCCTACACAGTACAGCTGCTCTATCAATGAGGAGTGGTCCTCCTCACCACCACAGCTCCTCCCTGGGAAGCATTCCTTGGTGCTCACAGGCCTGAACAATTTGGAGCTCAAAGGAACCTGCATGAGGCCTGGCAGTAGAGAGCCCTGAGGTGACTCATCTAAACAAGCTCCTCTCCTTGGGACACAAGGGTGCCGAGGGCAACAGGGGTGGGTCAGATGCTCTGCCCAGGACATGCTGTCCCTGGAGTCACTCACCAAATCGACGACCACGTCCTTGTGGAAGGTGCTCCTCCACTCGGCCGCCACTTTGCACACATACATGACAGCCTCGGGGTCATCTGAGTTCACGTGGAAAATGGGAGCATTCACCACTCGGGCCACATCGGTGGGGTAGGGGGAGGAGCGGGCCATCCGAGGGTCGGTGGTGAAGCCGATCTGCAAGGAACATGTAGCCTAGCAAGAGGGCACCTGGCACAGCCGGCACAGGGACCAGAAGGTGGGGCTGAGGCCCGGCATGGCGTGCGCTTGCCGCCTGGCTACTCTGAGTACGTGTCCCAAAATGGTTGTTTACACTTCATTTTTTCTTATTCTGATAACAAAATCCATATATATTTAACATAGAGAATTTAGAAGACATAGTTTAAAAAATTAAATAGCTTCCTATAATTCCATAGGCTACGGGGTCAATATTC